ACGCATGTCATCAAATAGGTTGCCACGACGAACGATGTTCGCCGAGACATGTAGTGGATGGAAGAAAATCAAGAGTGGCCAGGCAAAGACCTGGCATGAGGGTATGAAAACCCTAACCACTTTACTGGGTCACATAGGTCCCGTTAGGCTCCCTGGTTGGGGACTTCGGGACGATCGTACCCGATGGTTGGAGACACTGAGTGATATGGCTGGGTGTCGNGTCATAAAGAGTGGTGTTCTTGCATCTTCTCGATTTCTTTGCAAACTTAGAACACTGAACTTCTCCATTTTCTGTTCGACTCCACTTTCAATTTTCCTGTCTTCTCCTTTTCTTTATCCAAATGAGCAACTAAAACCGGCGCACGAAGGTGCATGGTTAATGGTTGTACAACCTGAAACTGCAACTGCAACCGGTACAGTGTGAGTAAGCAGTTAACGCGACCCCGTCCTCTTCAAAATGTAGCCTGTCTTTGGGAATATGACTATCCCAGGTACAGTTGAGTCTGTGAAAATTCCTACGCGTGATTAGTTAGGGTGCAACTGAGATAAAAATTAGTCCCTCGTTGATTAAAAAACGTCCACTAAAATCCAATCAACTATTATGGACCCCATACTCCAGATGGTTTGGAATAAGAATAACTATTCTCGGACGATTTTTATACCAACGTTTCTAAAATATGCCGGAAGCAGCTCATCTGATACGGGCGATTTGTGTAGAAGTTTGTGAGAGACTTCTTCCTCGGCAGGCCGTGAAATGTCGAAAAACTATGAAATATTGGGTGTCAAGATGTGAATGGGTAGTGACTTCGATGTCCGACTGAATTGTTGTTGAAAGTAATCCAACCTCCATGGCGACGTCACTGATTGTGGATGAGCTCATCGTTAGTTTAGCATATGCTCTGGCCCACATGTGCCTTATGGTTATGGGCGTTTCGGACGGAAAGGCTTATGGACTGCCGCAGGCAGTAGGTTGTTTCATCATCATCATCATATGCTCTCATCGGGTCTGTCTGTCCGCTCGCAGGAGGCGTCTTCGTTCTGTGCACTGATGGTCTTACTAACTAGGTTATACTCATTGGCTGGGTTATGTTCCGACGGGCATCGAACAGTTCGGTGAAACGTGCAGAAAGATGATCGTTGATAGTGTAATTTGTGGTGGTGTGTTATACTGATGGCTTTATGCATAGCTTTATAAATATGGGCCATGCGAGTAACGGAGGATTTTGTCCATATTTCAAAGGGGAAATTCGTGGTGTATGTGGCAAATGAAACTTGAACTAAAAAGCTAGGAAGCACTAGACAGCTGTTTTGACCTGGTTGGGTCTCATCAGCAGTGCGAATTCATCGACCCAACTGGGGATCGAACCCGGGCCCTCATGGGCAGAACTCAACCATGCTACCCATTCGGCCACCTGGCAGCCGAACAGACGGTTTTTTATTTTCCATTTACACGATATAGCACAACCCATCTTTACGAGCTGGTTTCATACGACAGACCTCGCTCATCTTAGCACTAGCATGCTTGTGTTCTGTCCATGAGGCCCCGGGTTCGATCCACAGTTGGGTCGATGGATTCGCACTACTGATGAGACCCAACCAGATCGAAACAGCTGTCCAGTGCTTCCCAGCTTTTCAATTCACGCTTCATTTGACATATACACGACAACTTTCCCCTTAGAAATATGGTCATGGGTGTTTAGGGATGGGGATTACCTAGGTCAGCGGCTACCATGGTTTGGGAAACGGCAACTGCGCTATGATTGGACGGTTTCATTCGAGCTGGTCGTTCCCAGTGATTTTGTTTTGCCATCAGAGCGCAGAGTTAATTTTGCTCATACGACTTCGTGATCGGAGCTATGGTAGGCACTCCAAATAGATTTGCAGTTCATTATTTGGTCTCTCTACCGATAGCTGATGAATATGTATACATCTGAGTTCCGAATCTGTGCCGACAGATCACAGTACAATAATCTCTATAAAAAAGGTAGAGTTCCTTAACTTGCTTGTGGGTGAAATACCACCAGTTTACCCAGGTGAAGACAGGTGAATTTTCTTAGGAAATTAAAAACTGGAGCTCTTGACTAGCTAAAGTCTGTTCCACAGGGCAGCGGGGCAGTGTGTGAAAACTACAGCCACTGGGGGTCGATATCCAGTTCATCGGATCGTACGATCTTTGGTCCGGGTCAAAAGTCCGAAGTGCTTATACACCTCGAAGATCAATTGAGATAGTGACCACCGCCACGACCAGGAAATTGTGGGTATTTTAGGTTCGTTTGGCTTTCCTCTCAGGTGAACTGCCAATGGTTCACCGACCCGGTTATATCCCTGGATGTTGGCTTTTCATCCTCTTATTTAGGTGGGAGAACATCTCCACGGGAAGGCAGTGAGTAGAGCTTCAACAGCATTTCGCGTTTTGCTAGGTACTTGGGAAGAGTGACCAGCCACAACCCGACACCCACCCTCGACCATGCTAAACATAATGTGGTCTGCTTGATTGGCCACATGAGTGAAGTTGCCACGGTTCACAATACCACCATAATCGCCGAAAATCGGTACTCGAAAGGTAATGTTGAGTTGCCGGAGACGGCCACGGTTATCTGTTCTATGGACAGCAAAGCTACATTAGCTACCAAGTACAGTTTTATTGACACTGCTTAGCAATTTTCGCTTTGAAGTCACCTCGTTGTCTGTGTTTTGTCTCATGTGGAGGAGGTTGGTGAGCTGATAGTATACCTCCTTTTTGCTGCTTCAGTAGGAGCAAAGGCTGTAGTGATGAAAAAACGTTTGTTGGACTCATTGTGATGTTCTTATTGAGCTTTCAAGTCGAATGACGCACAGTTGTCTATTGATTGGGATCCAGTCTAGTAAGGCTGCTTCTGCACACACTTAGCGTTACCCTTTCACTGACGAACCCAGCAGCCTCGACACTCCTACCTCTGGACTGTCGGAAGGTGGGTGCCTTTTTGGACTCTGGTGTTGGTGAAGCAATGCATAGGAAGGAGCTTATATCCTGTAGGCTCGTTTCAGTAGGGCATCGAAATATTCATGGTANTTCATGGTACAGGTGCGTGCGAGTGTTGTGTCAGCGTTCGAACAATAAAAAATAGCTAAATTAAGCTGAGCGCGAGACACGGGCAATGGTTTCTGGGCTTCTATTTTGTTTGCATATGCCTAAAGCGGTGACTATATAAAATTTCGTCAATCTTTCAGGGATTATCTAATTCAATGTATGTGCGCTCAGGGTACTGGTCTTTTCTCATAAAAAGGTGTCGATACGAATTTCATTCGTGTATTATTTTGTTTTCAAGTTGATCATCTGCATTTTATTTTGATTGTAAAGCTTTTCATAGAAAATGGCAATCATCAGTATAATTAAACACTTAAAATCGATTAATTGCTAGCACCGGATAATGTTTGAGCATGCATTCCGTCCATTTATGCTTCCTACTGTCAAAGTACACAAAAGATGGTAGGATTTGCTTACAGTCGTCTTTGTGAGGGGTGGAGGATGAGGGTAGGATTTTACTAATCTATATTCATTTTGATCATCCTGTCTTGGATTCTGTCTCCTAGCTGGCTGAAATGATCATGTGATGGTCATGCATCCCGTTCTCCATACCTTTCGCGGTCCTCAGGCGTTCCAGTCTCACGTCGTTTTTGCAGTTGGCCACCGGGAAAGTCCCACTGATCAATGAGATCCGACTGTGTTTCGGTTGCTACCAATGGAGAACAGTCCAAATCACCGAAACATCTCTCATTGGGCCAGTTTTACATAGGAAGTGGTGATGTACGATTGGCCAAATGCCATTCTCCTCCCATGACCACCAAACTGGATAAAAACCATGCTCAAATATGTAGCAACCCGGAAGGAATAGAATCTGATGGTATCCAGTTATCGTCACATATTACATCACCATCCAGCCAACCGCCACGCCCGAAATCCACTCAGGAGATCAAGGTGTTGGACAATGTCGGTTTGACTAAACCGCAACTCGAGACTCCTGGCTCTGTGGCCTTAAGCTTGGCAGAAGGTCCGGGTTTAGTGATGCCTGCAACCTCTTTGCCTCCTGTACCTCCGGGTACGGATCGACAAGTCGCATTTCAACCCGCCTCACGTGTTTACGAATTAGTTGAGGGTAAGTTTCGGGATCTTCGATACAGGACTACATGACAATCTACTCCCGATATGTCTTACTTATTTCGTCCAGTGTGATTTGCAACAATTGGCGAAAATGTGATAGAAATGACTTATGACCATCACCGTCTAATAATATGGCACCTGGTCAGTACTTCTGTTAGCTGCTACATGTATGCACTTTGTCATTGATCCCTAGTTTATCGTGTTTGTGTTACTCACAAATAAAAAATGTCTTCTGTATCTGGCAAGCAAAACCGTTTTCCGGTTAATTTCGTTTAAACGATCTTTGGAGCAGGTTTTTTAGTGCAATATGAATAATTAGCTGCTACATGCCGGCGTCTCATTTTGCCAGTCGTTTTGTTTTTTGGTCATTTGGACGGACGCGGTAGCGGAAACTACGGCACAGATAGAGAGAAAGAGAGCTAAGAAAGCGCACCGCTAGTCCCCGAACTACATGACTGTATATGATTGGAATCTTTGTACACATCGCTCCATGCTGTGTTCCTTGCCCCTCCCCTCCCTAGTCATTCTCGTATTGGGATGTGAATAGATTGAATCGGACAATCTGTCCCGCGCGGATCGAAACCCACCCGGTGTGTGAAACCCATTTGTGCTTCTCTCTCTCTCTCTCTCGGTATTTGATGGTCGTTATTCCCGCTTGGCCGGTGACAAGAGCAAAGATTTCGACGATGTTCAAACAGGTCTATCTCCCCATGCATTCAATCAGTTTGCCCGAATTTGCCCCGGGAAAACTATTTGAAATCACTATCATCTAATTATTGTTTTGATTTCCGACGGGAATCAGCAAAGCAAACCGGTGTTTTTTTAACAAAGTGGATGATCTTTGTTGATCCTGATTGAGTGCCGGTGGAAGTGGTGGTGGTGATAGTGAGGGGGTATGGATATGCCTTTTGCATCCATGAGTGGTACATCCAAAATCAAAACAGCCTCAATTCTCGAAATGGGTGGTTTACCTGTATGTATCCCACGACCACACAACAACAGATATTCTGTGCGTCTTTTACAAATCCAGTGGAGATCATTTCTTACGGTTTTCACAGGTTGTCAGCACTGTACTGTTTGAAGATTCACTGTAAATTTTTCACTCAAATACAATTTTGGATTCGGCCATCGCGATCTCTTGGGTGTATCTTTCCGTGTAAAGATGTTTTCAGTAGTAGACTGTTTTTTGCTTGAAACTTACTTTTTTTAACTGAATGTGTTGTGAATTCCCCTGTTCATCTATTCCCAACCCCCCGTAAACTCAGAGCCCTGGCGTGATTCGGCACCCAATGGTGGTTGGGGATGGTTGGTCGTATTTGGCAGCTTCCTGTGCATGTTTGTGGTAGACGGAGTCTGTTTTTCCTACGGGATGTATATGCACGAGCTGATTGTGGAAGGCAAATTCCCTGGCGAGCAACCCGGTGCACAACCGAGCCGACCATCGTTATCCGCTCTCACTTTGCCGGGTGCAATGTTATGCGGGACGTACTTGCTGATTGGTGAGTTGCACGATTCCATTCTGCTGCTATCTGCCATAGTAAGCATACAATAGTCTCATATCTAACCATGTGCCTCGGGAGTTAGTGCTGTAATAAGCGAGGTTAGTTAGGTTCTCGTACGTAGCTTGAAAAGCTGAGGTATGCGAATATTCTGTATTAGACTAACTGAATCAGCCTGATCAGCTATCCGGTAGTCAAACGGGTGGTACGCTTGTCGCCGTACCCTCTATGGGCTCTGGTTCGATTCACATTTAATGATTCCCGAAATGGCTCAGACCAGTGCATCCCAGCTTCACATACCGAGTCATATTTTGTTAAAAGGGAGTAGTAGGGGATTCAACTCAGCTGTCGGATGGTTTGTATTGTATACAGAAAAAAAGACTTCGTGGAAGGATTTGCTGTTTGCTTTTGTTCTTTCCAAGCTCATGTTTGTGCTGTAGAACCGCTAAAAGCCAGGTTTCAGAACAAATCTAGTAGTGGTTGAGATTCTTCCGTGTTTCACTTGAAATCAGTGTCCCATCGAAAACTCCACCAGCTGAATCCTTCATCCTCGATGCTCGCTCAAACTAGCCACATTTAACATGCGTAATCTGGTGTGTATGGGAAAACAGGGGTGTTTAGCTCGTACGCTCGAAACTCTGACCATCCATGTGTTTTGCATTCAAGATACTCGAATTCAAGACTCCAGCTCCATTATCCGATTGACATCCAAATGAAACCACCTAAACCTCTCTGGAGACCCCGAGGCTACGGCTTCCAGTCTTGTTGGTTTTGACGTGGCTCTCGGTGAGAAAGCTGAACCCGCTCTCCTGGATTGGCTCTCAGCGGACATTGGGTTGTGCGCCGTGAGATTCGGGTTCGTGCAAAGTACGCAGCCGTCGTTCCGATAGACAAAACTTGTCTAACATGTCAGCAAATGCCCCAACGGACTACAGCCTAGATGCAATCAAAGATAAATTCTACCAAAACCTACACGACCTATTGCGTAAAGTAAACCGGCTGACTTCGAGAGATGCTTTCAAACTAGATTCCTGTGGGTCGAAAAACGAGGAATGGCTGTTGACTCTATGTTCCCACCACCACCTATTCCTCACTAATACGAACTTCGGGCGATCCAACTGCCGGTACGCTACTTGGCGTCCACCCCCTTCGAGTCAGCGGCGAAAGCAGATCGACCACATTAGCCACAAACAGCCGTGCTGTATACAAGACTGCCGATCGTACTAGAGCATTCCCCTCTAATCCGACCACGGATTAGTATTCGCCAAACTGTCAATGTGCTTCGGTGGGCATTCCAAATACAAGGCACAACGACGCTTAAACTGTGATAAGTTGTCCGAACCGGCTTATCTTTTAATACGCCCTAGGTGAAAATCTAGAACCAACACCATCCAATAACATTAATCAGCACTAGTTGCTTATCCAGAGTGCTCTGCATTCCGCCTTCTGAATTAGCTACGGTCTGATGCGTCGTACAGTGACACCCTGGATTTCCGCGGAGTCTCACGCCCTCTTGACGCATATCAGTCAATCCCGACTGGCAGTGAGTATAGCGAAACGAAACTTGTAACGGGACGTGAACTTAATGCAAGCCTACGCAAAAACCATGAAATCTGCTGGACTCAACACGCGTCAGTGATGGAACGTGCTGCCGCCGTGGAAAATTCCCGTAAGCTGTTCCATTTCATCCGGGTCACCAGTTGGAAAGCCGTGGGTGTGAGCGAAGCGATCTGCGAAGCTGACGGCTCACCCATTCATAATCAACAGCGATATCTTACACGCTAAGCGGAGCACTTCGAGGTGCCGTTTCGCTGGCCATCAACTTTAAGTATCTCGGAAGTTCGATCGCAGCTGGAGGTGGTGTTGTGGAGGAGATCACATCACGAATAGCAAAAACTAGAGCAGCTTTTACCAACGTGCGACACCTGTGGCGCCGCCATGACATCCAATTATTCTCTAGGGGAAGACGTATATGACCACGGTTCGCAGTGTTCTGCTTTTCGGTAACTGTTTGTCCTCCATCTCACTCTGTTCTGTATCCCAATCTTCCCCATCCCCTGTTATTGTTATTATTGTTGTGGTGTAGGCACCATGCTTGCTCGCAAGCCTGTGGTAGATTTATACGTTTCGTAATAAGTGGTATCTGAATGACTCGACAAAATTTTCATTTTGATTAAAACTATATGCTTATTTCTCAATGTTCGCCTCCAGGCGCGAGAATGATGATCATCAACGTTATGAATATTTATAGATATATATTGATAATAAATAATATATGGATGACCGGACAAAATTTCCCTGCA